ATATCCTTGTTGGATGTCGCTGAACCATTAACCTCGAGTTGAGAATTAGTTTTTGGAGTAAGTTTTACATCACTGATTATTGTAGTATATGGTGGTGGGTTAAATAGCACCGGACATTGCCCAAATTGAGTGGCCTTTTTAGTCAAATGATATGGGAAAACATTGACCATAGAAAATGCGGCCAAGAAAACGAATAACAAGACAAAATTTCGGATCATGGCTATTTTTTTTAAAAAAAAAGTTAGCAAAAAATGTTTGCTATATAAGAATTTTTGAGTGTTGTTATTATATTATTTTTTATTATTTAGTTTTTAGGTTTTTCTTGTTTTAACTCCGAAGTGAAATGAAAATTATTGTCTTTTCATAAGGAAAAACTGGTCACCTGACTTTCATAAATTTGTTCTTTCAAAGTATTATTTGACAATTGACAAAAAAAAAGGAAAGAAAAAATTAGAATATTCGGAAAAGTTTTGAAAAGCTATGTATGAGAAAAAGGAGTTTACATGATTCCCTGACAATCATTTTCCGACATCAAATTTCTACCAGGGTTGTAATTTATGGTAAATTATCAAAATGGTAAGTTACCGATAAGTTACCGTAAGTTACCGGTGCCAGTAACCTATACGTACTTTATTTCGAAAGTTTCAGTGTTTTATGTCGACCATCACGGTGAACATTTCCACAAGCTTACCATCAAAAATTCATGGTAGCTTACCGTTAATTTACCACGGTAACTTACCATGGTAAGTTTACCACTGTTAACATTGACTTCTACCAACGCCAATTCTAGTCAAATACTAAAATCGGGCAGTCGAGGAATGATTGTCTACTACCGGTAAAAAGTTTTACGAAAAAATCATGCAGTATCACATTTAATTGAGCGTCATCCATGAAAATCACAATGCAAATTAACACATGCGACGGAATTCCGTAGATCATTTCCAATAAAGTTTATGATCGGGCGTGTAACGTTAGGGTGTTAAGTGTACTATGTAAATCAAATCTATATGTAGTCCTATATGAAAATCGATTAGTAAAAAATTTTTCGTGTAACATTCACATTAAACTACTGCGCAACAGTATAGTTACGATAGTTTATTATTTTTCGAGC